ATTATTAAAAATTCGAATAAATGTCATATCAAGAAGAATTTTATTATCATTAAACCATTCTTAGACCTCAATCCATTAGCATTCATTAAATGGAGGTACACTAATTGAGATTCACTGTGTAATATAAATTTAATATGACGTTAAAAAAATTTTAGGAATCCAGTTTGATTTGATTCGAATCGAATCCTGTTTTTTTTTGAATTTGAATCAAATCGAATTGACTACAGATCTAATCGAATCAAATCGAAACACTCTCAAATTCGATTCGATTCGATTCGTTCGGAGTCTTACTTGAGTCATAGGAGACGGATTATTAGGATAAGAATTTTGGGCCATTTCATTCATACCACACCTTTGTGTTTTGATTTTGTGGTTTTATCAGCCAATACATAATGGTAAAGTTTAGAGCGAATTTGGTATGATTTTGCAATTACATTATTAGGAAATTCATCTTTGAATAATCCAATAACTTTAGAATTATTAAGATCAAATAAATCTGGCCTTTCTGCCATATCCTTATAAATATCCTCAGTTTCAGTCATAAATATAAAAGAATCTGTAGCCATATAACCAAGAATGGCTTTATTGGCTTATTAAGAGTTACCTCTTGTTTGCCTAAGTGGACTCCTACTAATTCTTCAGATAATTGGCAGGCATATTTAAATGATGGTTTATTTACTTTTTTTTGTCATCATCTTTATTCCGCATTGGCATGAGTTTTACATCATGATAATTTCAAACATTTTCCATAGTTTTACCATAGGATGCATTATTCATAAGTTTGAAGAAATCTTTTTCAAAATCATTAGTAGCTTTTTGACGCATTTCAGTATTAAATTTGATATATGATGCAAGCCAATTAGTTTTCTCAAATGATAAAATTTCATAAACTTCATCTATAACTAAACCCAATTTTACGTAATATTGAAGCTCTAGATAATGTATAACATAATTATCCCATGGGCCAAGATGAGTAACTAATTTATTTGTTGATGAAAATCAATTATTATCTAATTTTTTTATTTGCTCCTTATTATGATAACTAAGCCAATTGTGTTTTACTGGAATATTTTCAATCACTGGTGGTAAATCCTTAAGTTTATCATGAGTGGCTATAGGAAAATGTGCTTTTATTATGTTTATAAAATATCCTCAATGTGCATCAGCATTTGTTTTGAGAATTCTTTTAAGCCATTTATTTTGTAATTCTGGATTACCATTTAAATGTGCCCTATGTTCCTCCCACTTACAATTCCTAATAGGAAGAAGTTGACTCATTGCCCAACCATATAAATTATTTGCATTGACATATGAAATCCATGTAGTTGGTTTAGTTGGATCAAATTCAGTACCCATTTTTGGATTATTGGCTTTAAAATATCAATGACAAGCTAATGAAATACCTCCTCTTTTGGCTTTTTCGATAAAATTGTGCATTGATATATCTGTAAAGAGCTCAATTTCAACTCCAGACATTTTTAACATTGCATCCCATGTTAATGAAACTGTAGATACATAATGGCTTGGATCGAGTTTATATTGTTTCATGGAATTTTTGCAGAATGTATTCCATATATCTGAAAGAAGAAGTACATCTGTTTTTAGGTATAAATAATGGTAATCTCCTAAATTTTTGCAACCAAATGTTTTCCAAATATTTTGTGCTTGCTCATCATATTCTTTTTGTGGTATTTTTCTGCCAAGTTTACTATTAAATTTTTCAATAGGAGGAAGCTCAGTTTTTAAAAATCTTTCAAGAGAATCAATATATTCATAAGGATAAATCCCCTTTTGACAAACCATTGCAATTTGTTCTTTTGTATAATTTTTATAATGTTTTACTGTTATTTTATGTTTTTCAAGTGTCCCAAAGCAACGTTCTTTATCTAATCAATGAAAATGTGAGCATGTTGAATCTTTACATTTTATTGCGCCTAAGTTATTGGCAAGACTTGATAAACTAGAATTCATAAATTGGTATGAATCCATATATTTTATTTGGCCTACTTTCATTGTTTTGTATTGTCCAAAAGTTTCTGCAATAACACAAATTTGATGCACACCAGCTGATTTAGCTACTGATTGGCAAATTAAATGTGAGTCATATCCTCTAAAATTATGAATTATTACAGGAATTGGAGCTTCCATGGTTTAATTTTAAGTTGTAAATTACAATTACTATGGGCTGCTCCACAGAATTTTCCAGTCATATGACAGTGGTCCCAAACCTTTATACCTTTACTACATTCAGTTTTAATATTTTCATTTTGCTTCTTTAATTTTATTTTCAACAATCGTCTTCATTGTATAATAATAATGTTTACTCCTTCATTGGATGGGCGGATTTGACTTTCCCAAATAAAGATATTTATTGCCACAAAATATTAATAAATTAAATTTTTTTCTCTTTTTTTTTTCAAAACATATTAATATATATATATATATATATGCTAAACATAATTTCCACGATAATCTTTTAAACTCATCTTTTAATCTTGGTATAAATTCTTAAAATTTATCAGAATCTGATGTTTTGAATACATCATCATATTTTTATGATAATTATACTTTGTAATTTTCATTGACACTTTTTTCCACACAAAAAAATAAAAATAATCGATGATTATTAGTAATTTATAAATTATAAAATATATGATCAATTTAATTTTTACCTTGTACTTTACAATTTTATAAAATAACAACACCCACCATTTGAAAATGTCGAAGCTTCCCAGTGATTGTTTATCAGAAATATTTTCTTATCTAGAGAATGATATGAGCACTTTACATAGTTGTATATTAGTTAATAGATTATGGTGTGAGATAGCAATAAAATATTTATGGAAACAACCATTTGATCTAACCGTTAAAACATCAATGAATTCAATATCAAAATTTCCTAATATTTCGTTTAAAAGTTCATTAAAGTTTATAAAATTAACATCCACATTATTTCAGTGTATAGTTTACAATAACAATAAAAATAAAAGAAATAGTAGTCGTGGTAGTCGTGGTAGTAGTAGTAGTAGTAGTAGCAGTAGTGATGGTAGTAGTAGTAGCAGCAGCAGCAAAAATTGTGATGGATCTTTAACAACAATATTTGATTATATTTCTTTTATTAGGTATTTAAACTTTCGTAATTTAATGATTGTGATTGCAATATGGGCGAATTGCACTGAAAAAAATCCATCATTGGTTGATCAAGAGGTGGTTGCATAGATATTGGAAAGAAGGGTTACAAGAGAATTTATAAGATCTTCCTCAAGCTATTTGAATAATGAGTGTATATTAAGTAAGTTAATTGATAATGTGGGCAGATTAGTTATATTACAAATAAAAAAATTGGATTCAATCTCAATGTTTACAACCAACAACAACACCAAATCATTTTTTTGGAATCTCTACGATAATCTACATGTTTGCTATCCGGAAATTAGCAATAGATGTTTTTCATACATCAACAGGTTTGAATGGACAGCTGGAAATCAAGGAACAAAATTCTTGGCAAATCTTTGCAATACTTCACATAATATAAAAGTGATCAAGATTGATTGGGATGATAAATGGTTTGCTAGGGATGATGAAAATTTAGATAAAAAAAATGATGATTTGCTGGTGAATCTGATTAAAAATCAACATGCATTGGAAGAATTTCATTTTTTCTTTAATATACAAAAAAACATTCCAAAAATAATTGAAGGGCTTCACCACCAATCAAGCCATTTAAGAAGGGTGGTTCTAAAAAGAAACAGGATTTATGATAAAGCATATATGACAAAAATTTTAAATTTGGAGGGATTGGAGGATTTGACTATTAAATATTGCTGGCTTGAATCAGGAGAAAGTATTTGGCCAGTACAAAAGAAATTGCATTTTTTGGTGAAATTTAAATTTGTTTTAAATTATCCCAACCTTTTTATCAAACCGATTCATAAACCAAATATTTTCACCGAAGATAATGCCGAAGATGATGTTGATGTCGATGATGTTAATGATGTTGATGATGTTGTTACAAAAGATTATTACAAATCATCAATGCTGAAAGAATTTATTTATGATGAGAATTATTTTAGAGTGGACTTTGAAAGTATTGCATTGTATATTTCAACACATTTTAAAAACTTGGTTTATTTGGATTTATATATTTACATTAGAGTTTCTTCATTATCAGAAATATTATTATCATGTAAAAAGCTTGAAAAAATCATTATCAAAGATAGGAATTGGTCACAACACTGGCATGATGAAAATAATCAGAACCTAGATAAATTGATGCAAGAAATGGTTTTAACAAATTTGAAACATTTAGAACTGAAGGGAGTTTTCCATTTTACAGCAACATCGTTAGATATTTTTTTGAGAAAATCAAATCCACCACTTGAAGTGATGGAAATAATTGGTTCCTATTGTTTTGGAAATGATCATATTGAGGTTTTGTTAGAATTGCTAAATGTAAAGCTGCATAAACTTCATATAACAACGACGATATGTCCAAAAAGGAATATAAAATCGAGAGCAAATAAAATCATTAGAGACTTTAAATATGTATATATCAAACCAAAGAAAACCGACACAAGACTTCTTTACATCAACCAACAATATCCTAATACTAGATCTAGAAAAAAACTTGAAGTTGGTTTGATAAATTGACGGATGATATAGGGTGGAAAGGAATTTATTATATTGTTGTCTACATTATTTGCAAAATCTTTACAATTTTCCGAATGTATTATTGGTGGATTAATTGGTCTGGCTGAGTTAATTAATTGGAGATTTATTTTATTTAATTTAATTAATTTTACAAATAACAATAACAATAAAATAAATTTTATATTATAAAATATTAAAAAGTATATTTATTATGTCCAAAAATTTTGAAATTTGAATTTTATTTGGTTTTTATTATTCTCAATTTACCAGGAGAATACTTGTAATTATCAGAATAGGATTTTTTATGAAATTCAACTTCACGATTTTCTTGAATAAAATATTCCCAACCTTGTTTTTCAGCAAAACGAATTGCATCTTCTTTTGATCTAAATTTCAATTGTAAAGCCTGTACTGAATCAGCACTAAAAAAGATATATTATTTAACAATGAGTAATTTTGATAATTGTGAATAATAATAATAAACATAAATATAATATATATTCATTTACTTACCTGCTAGACCATCCCATTAACGGATTTTCCCATTTGGATCCACCTTCCAAAATATCAAAATCGATTCTCCAATGTTTTGAATTATGAGTGCCTGATTGTGCCGCGGATGGGGCAGGTTTAAAAATTTTTACGGTTCGTGATTTAATTTCCTCTAAAATTCACATTAAATAATGAATATAAATATATAAATAGTAAAGGTTATAAATAATATATAATCAATAATACCTGGTACACCCGAAACAACATCTGCAGGTATTATATTTGATTCAGTTGATCTTGATGTGATTGCTTCATCTTCTTTTGAATCAGTAGTATTGGTGTTTTTGGTTGTAGCTGTATCGTTTATTGAAATAGAAACATTGCTAGAATTAAATCTTTGAAAGACTTTAAATGTAGAAGGAAGTGAAGGACGTACAAATAACAATGGATTTTTAGAAATAAATAGGGTTGATGACATGATTAAAATTTTCTTGTAATATTAGAAATTGCTTGGAACCGGTCGGTACTACATCCTTTTTTGTTTAGAAGCGATAATCATTCGCTGATTTTTTTTTTTGGAAATCTCTTCTCCGCTTAAGCATAATGGGAGCGGAGATGAGCTAGCTAGCAAAAAATCAAACCCTAATTTTTTGTTTTTGTTGGGATGATGATAAATCTCAAAATTTTTTTACTTTTACCTTTTCCACGTGATAAACGTCTCTTACCATTTATTTATTTATCATGCAAATAATAAAACCTTTTTTCTAAGCAAACAGAGATTTATTTAATTTAAATGTTTGATTATCATGATAAACATCATTACTGACTGGTACGGTTTTTTTTTTGGTTAACAAATTTACAATCGAGAATGCAACGTAAGCCTTTTGCCTTTTATTTGTATTTATTATTATCGTATATTTAGATCCAAGACAGTAATAGTCTATTTTTACTAAATTCGAAACATATAAATAGAATAGCCGCCCCCACATTTTTTCATAACACCAACATAGAAATATTTCAAGTTTAACTGTGAATCATGTTATTATTTAATGATTAAATTGTTAACATGAATAACAAAAAATCACACATACGGTATGAAGAGACGAATTTTAGTAAATTTAATCACATTTGAGAAATAGATAGCTAAAAAGTGAAGAGCTTCTCAATGGATACATATAATCAATGAAAATAATGAAAAGAAGTGATTGTTAAATATAAATGATTTGTATATAATAATAAAGAACATAATACCTAGCGGATAAGAAGGCTCATCCACACCAAATCTGTTTCAAACCTTCCACCCATCATCATCTAATAAAAATAGAAAATAAAAATAAAAAAGCTACATATTGCCAAAGATTAATTTTCATGCAAAATTGGTGATAAATTACATATCGCATTTTTACTAATTAATGCTTAACTGGAATTGAATTTTTTAAACATAATATTAATATTAATATCAAAGAAATCCGTAATTATTAAAAATTCGAATAAATGTCATATCAAGAAGAATTTTATTATCATTAAACCATTCTTAGACCTCAATCCATT